ATCTTCAAACTCCAACCAGTTCAAGCTCTACAACTTCATTTTCTAAACCTATATCACAGATGATTTTTACCCCATTTCAGCACTTTCTGCTTTCCGTGTACACGAATAAATCATTTAGAATATGAATTTTCAGTCTCATGCAAAATTGGTATTACTAGACGCAACATATCTCCCACCAATCTCATTTAACCCGTGTGATGAATAATGATTTATGTAAGAGGACAAAATGGACACCATTTATTATTCTTTAAATCAGCAGGATTTGAAGCAAGAGAGAATACACAAGAGCGCTTACGTTTTCTCACAAAGCTTCCTCTGAAAAACTAACCCATAAAGCAGAGACTTGTTATCAGATACAATTATTTTCTATAGGTATCATTTAGGCATATATATAGTACACATAATTGGCAACTCGCAGCGAACAAAAACTTTATCAGGGAGCTTATTGCCAAATTGCACAGCACCAAACTTTCAACCTGTGGCACTGCTGTAAAGTTGTCATGTCAAGAATTTGAATGGGCAATGAGCAAAAATTTGTCAAAGAAAGAAGCTTTTGCAACGGCATACATTTAAGCAAAGATCAACATTCATGAAATAGTTATTAATGTGGGCAAATTAAGAACTTATACATCAATTTGCTAAAACTTTTCAAGATTTGTAAAATCCTAGCCAAAAATAGCGGAGAAATCAACACGACTTTCCTAGTGAATGTCTACTAAAGATACACATTGACGTCACTGGACCATATGATTTTCAAGTCATCAATCATAATCAACATTTTTTAGCATTGTTTATTTTCAATTCATGGACAACCATAATCGAAGATTACAAATGTTGTTCTTGCACGTCCTCACGTTTTCTTGACCTGTGATGCCATGTTGAGCTAGTTGACACCTATAATGTAGAACCTAACCTCTTAGCATGGATCCATCTGGTTAAACGAAAAAATATAGAACTCCTACACCATTTAAACTACAAGTTTACCAATTTTTGCCCCACAGATCCGGGACGGATTGGGGGGGGGGGTTCGTGTGAAACCTGCAAGCGTACGGGATAGTTGACAAGTAATAGATTTAGCGAGTTAGAGTATCGTCCCACGAGGAATAAAATTTAATTGAGTGTACTAGTCCTTAATTAGATTCAAAACGAACAAATTAAAAGTGATTTTTGTGATTTTTAATTATTCTAATTTAATCTATGAAAATGTATAAAATGCGAATTTAAAATGTGTATGGATTACGAATCACCTATTATTATCTATTCCAATTGTCAATTACGTGCTAGTTTCGCTTTTACATTCTTGGCAATCGATAATTCTATTGTAATTAATGTTCTTTTCCAAGACAAATTAAATCTATCCTATTCACGACCCAATCCTATTCCTAGTCCTATCCTATTCATGACCCGATCCTATTCCTAGTCCGAATTCATACGAATAGAAGACATTCAATTTCATAATTATCTCAAAGATTGCACACGTGATAAATCTTGTTCCTAAAATTTATTGCACGTATGTTAATCATGCAGTGTTTTAAACTTATTGTGAACCTTCCAGCACTACAACAAGCAACCATATATTTAATTGGTGATCAAGCAATCAAATAATTAAATTAAACATGCAAAATTAATCAAGAATTAAACTAAATCACGTGTCTTGAATTAAAAATAAATAGTAACGGGTTTCATCTTCATCTAATACATGAGAAAACTTAGCCTAGCATAATGGTGAAATTAAAAAATAAAACAGAGACATCATCGAGTGATTTAGGGGATGTGAATAATTTCCAAAGTGACAATGCTGTAGTCACGCCTTTGCCGTCTTCCTATCTATTGTTGGCTTCTGCATGTGTAATATATTCCTTCTCCTTTTTCAGCCCAAATGCAGTCCCAAGGTTTGAATAATTTCCATCAATGGCAACCCTTTTTGTGGTTTTTGTCCTTTAATCCACGCACCCAAAGGTAGCCTCAATTGTGTATCTCTTTCCCCAATGCGGCGTGTGGAATATATGCAATGGCAGCCCTTTTATTTCTTTAATTTTCACCAGATTATCACTTATGCTCTCCCCCCTTCCGGCTGCCAATTTGTGTGTTCTTTATATATCAAAGTCAGCCCAAGCAGCTGCCTTTATTGGTGTTAGTTTTCTTTGGTTTCTGTCTCCCCACCAGCCACTATTGATGCGTGTATAATCTATCCCAAGCAGCCGGCAATTCACGTGATTGTATGTGTAATTTCAACAAGTTGGCAGCCCTCTCTTTCTTTCCAGCCGGCGGTCTTTTTTCTCCCCTTCCTCCTCCTGCAATTGCCGTGTAATTCCTCCCACCAGCCCCCAAATTCTCTCCCTTTTTTGTGTGTGTATATATATATATAATTCATCAGCCAACCCTATTTTATTTTCAAAAGAACCCCACTTCTTCTCTTATTTCATCAACGTGTCTGCCCTCTTGTATCAATTGGACCAGCCCAATTAATAAGATATTTCAGTTCAAGCCATCACTTTTCCATTTTAATGAAATCTAGTCCTCAATATGAATTTTATTTGTGCAACCAATGTCCTCCTCAATTTAATCCCAAATTATTGATTTGACTCGATTTTGCCCTTCTTCCTTTCCAATTGCTTCCGACGGGTTGGTCACTAAAAACAAGAATAAAATTAACCTAAGTTAAATAGAAATAATAATTTGACGACTTAAAAGTTTAATAAAGTGGCCTAAATAAGTGCATAAATTACACTTATCAAACACTCCCAAACTTCAATCTTTGTTCGTCCTCGAACACAAAAACAAACACACAAGCATGCAAAAATATTTGGTTCGACAATTTAGCTTTTTACCTTTGGATTTGAGATTGCCGTATTAAATTTACAAACCACTTCAAAGTCACAATACCAAATTAATATCTACTTTTCCAATGCAAAACCGACGTGCATGTGTGTAGAACTAAGTTGACATTAATGAAGTCACGAGTTGTTCCAATTCTCAACCCTGTATGGTCAGATATATATCATTTCATTTCTCGTAAGATTCACACACCTCCAAACTTATTCTTTTTCACTCTTTTCCTAGTGTGTGATCCAAGATTGAATTTTTCATTAATATCCTCACCTCTCCAATTCAAGTGGACGTCACTAGTTGCAAGTTGACACATCAATGAACAAGGATTCTCAAATTATTTGATTGCTTCATTCGTCAAGACTCGATTAGGCTATTATCCTTCATTGAAAGTCAAACTTTTCTCAAACAAGTGTTGGGACTTACAAGGCATTTAATGCTTTTGCTTTTTCATTTTTTTTTTTCAAACTTGCTTTTTTTGATTTTTAATTTTTAAATTTTTTTGTCTCCCTCTTAAGCTTTCTAGATGACCCATGTAGTAGACTTTAGGCCGATGTCTCCCAAGTCAGATGACTTTAGGGCACCAGATTTTTAAATACTCTTATAGACTTAATAACCCGAGTCAAAAAAGCTTCGAAGAGAACAATTTTTTTTGTGCAATTTCATCTCTGATTGCTTTTTAAATGGCTCCTGTAATAAGCTTTAGGCCGATGACTCCCAAGTCAGATGACTTTAGGGCACCAAATTTTAAGACATCTTTGTAGGCTTAATTGCTCGAGTCATAAGAGAAGTTTTAAATTTCAAAATATATGCCTTGATCAATGCAATATCCCTTATCACAAACCCATTCAAGCAAACCAACCTCCAATTTAGGACTTTCATCTAATTTTATCCTGTTAATCTCAGACAATCCACACAAACTTTTTCACACAAGGAATCCACATTCATATCCGTATTTTCCTACAATAGTAAGATCCCCCAAATTGTGCTAAATTTGGTCTAAGGACAGATAATTAGTATGGTTTGGATAAAACATCTATGTCCAGTTACATCAATCTATCACATGCATGAATCACCTTATTTCATCACAATGTCAGCTCAGTTTTAGTGTGCATCTAATATCAAGTTTTGCAAGTTTAAGTTTCAATCAATCTAGCATGCTCCCTATCTACAATTCATAAATCAACACCAAATCTCAAATTTAATCATCTTTGTCAATCAAACCGTCTAACCCACATCAAGCACAACCAAAAATAAATAAAAATAAAAAAAATAAAAATTTAACGATTAATTTTTTATTTTTAACTTACAAAAACAAACCACAAATACATACGAAGACCAAAAACACAAAGTGTTTCCCTCTCCCAAACTTAAACCGGACATTGTCCCCAATGTCTTAAAGTATAATTAAGAATGTAAGGGGATGGGAAAGAAAAGAACGAAAGTACTTCCCGAATTTTTCTATTAAGTGTGGAAGACTTTGGGTGATGGCCTGATAATGTTCCTCATCATGCTTTTCCTTGGTCTATGTTGGTTTGAGTGTTCCACGACATCATGTTCTTGCATATGAAAATCAAATTAAACATTAGAGATCAAATAATCTAGAACATGTATTACTTAGCCCAAACACTCAAGAAAACCAACATTAAACTTAAAAGCCTAAGTGAAAACATGATAGGATGAAGATACCCTCTAAATTTAAACGTGCCTAAATCTAATGCAAACTAATAATCAAAACAAGTCTATATGCAATGCGATGCAAAAAGTAAAATAAATAAATAGTAATAAAATTGGGTTGTCTCCCAATAAGCGCTTAATTTATAGTCTTTAGCTAGACTTTGTTGTTTTGGCTATTCATGGTGGCTTGAAGAGAAAATTTTTGGCTCTGCATTTTATGCACCGATTGCACTTCTTTCTTTCATCTTTCACCCTCCACACAATTAATTTTCCATTGCTGTCCCTACCAACAATTCCACCTTCATTTAGCCTATCTTTGTAGCTCCCTCAATGATCAACTCGTTGGCAATCCTCAAAGTATGATGGTTGCATGATTGAATTCTCCATGGTAAAGCTTGTTGCTTATCCTCCACCCTCAAGACAATCTCATTAGCATCAAAATCTACCAAGGCTCGGCTTGTAGACAAGAATGGCATTCCTAGAATTATTGGCATCTAAGATGCCTCTTTAATGTCGAGGATGATGAAGTCAGCTGAAAAAATAAACTCCCCCACCTTGATAAGAATGTCTTCGACTATTCTGTAAGGGTGTTTCAGTGATCGGTCTGCCAGCTGAAGGATAATAGATGCTGCCTTAGGATCTCCCAATCCCAGTTTCCTGTAAAGAGGTAAGGGAATGAAATTAATACTCACTCCTGAATCAATTAAACAATTTATCTTATTTAAATTTCCTATGGAGCAAGGTAGAGTGAAGCTTCCTAGATCTTTAAGTTTGGGAGGGATCCTGTGTTGGATGATTGCACTGCACTCTTCAGATAATGCTATTGTTTCATGTTCTGGCAACTTTCTCTTCTTAGACAATATCTCCTTCAAAAACATAGCATAATTTGGAATTTGTAGAATAGCGTCAATAAAAGGAATGTTGATGTGAAGTTGTCTGAGGGTGTTAAAGAAATTCTTGAATTGTTTGTCCATTTTATTGTTCTGCAACCTTTGAAGGAATGGAACTAAAGGTGTGTTTTTATTGCTAAGAGCGGTCGCCTTGACTTGTGGATTGTCTGACTGATCTTTTTGATTAACATTTGATGATTTTTCAAACTGACCCACTTGTTCTTCCCCCGAGGTCGGTACTCGATTCTCCTCAATCCCCTTCTTCTTCACTGCGATTTCTGGTAGTTGAACTTTGATTCTCATTGTGATAACTTGGACTTGTTCAATTTTAGGATGTCTTTGAAGCCTTTGAGGGAATGGGATAGGCGGCACATAAGCTTGAACATGTGTAGCGGGCTTGATCGATGGTGTCTTGATAGTTGCATAATTCACATCTTCAACTGATAATGCCTACTCTTTTGGGTTCTTTTCTGTATCGCTCGGCAGAGTACCTTATGCTCTGTTGGCTAATGCAGCTACTATCTATCCCACCTATTTATCTAAGTTATTTGTAGAGGCTTGTTGATTCTGTATCACCATCTCAGTCTTGACGACGTACTTGACAAGTAGATCCTCTAACGATTACCTCTTTTCTTCTTGCTACTGAATCGCTGGTGGATTATCCTTCATTTAATTTACTTGATCTGAATTTTCTACCCATGTGTAGTTAGGATGCTTGTTCAAACTCGGATGGTAGTTGTATGGGTAAGGTCCATTTTGCCTCTGATAGTTCTGCGCATAACTCACCTTTGCTGGCTGAGCTATGTGAGTAGAAGCCAAAGGACAACTTGCAGTAATGTGATCTACCCCACAACCTACGCACTTCAGAGCTAGAGTTTGTACCATATTCATGGAATGGGTCAAAGAGTCAAGCTTTCTAGTTATTGCCTCCATCTGTGCTGTCAACGCTGTCACTGCATTCACATTATGTATATTAGTTGTTTTCCTCGGGACTTCCCTGTCGCTCGGCCACATCGATTGATTTTCTGCTATCCTCTCATACAGCTCATAAGCATCGTCCACATTTATAACCATTATTGATCCTCCCACTGAAGCATTCCATAGTAAAAGATGTATATTTGTGCTTGTTTAGGAATCTCAAGATTGGGGCACTTCCTCAATAAGTTCTTATACATTTCCCATGCCTCTGGATAGCTCTCAAGGTCCTTTTGCTTAAACGTGTGAATTTCATTCCAAATTTGATTAACTCGAGTTGGGGGAAAGAACTTCATGGTAAATTTTTGAATCATGTCATTCCACGATACAATGCTCCCAGGAGGTTGTAACATCATCCATATTTTTGCACCTTCCTTCAAAGTGTGAGGAAATAGATGCATTCGAAATGCATCCCGTGACATCCCCTTGTAGCTAATTACATCACACACCATGGTAAAAGCTTGAATATGTTCATGTGGGTTTTTCGTAGCTTTCCCGCTAAATCTGATGTCTTGATGATTTTGAAAGAGGTTTATGACATCTGGTCGGATATGGAAGTTAGCTTGTCCAAAGGGCGGATAGGTGATCGGAGGTTGAATCGGTGCTGGCACTGGATTTACAAAATCTCTCACTAAAAGTTCTCCATGATTTGCTACTACCCTCGGTAGTGGCAAAGGGTACTGAGCTTGATTCTGATTTTGGTTTTCTGCCATATCTCTCACTTGTCTCTGCTCTCTTCTTCGCTATCTGAAAGTTCTTTCGATTTCGAGATTTATAGGAAAAAGCTCGATCTCATCAGAATTTTGCATAAACTATGATTTCCTGAAAGGAGTAAATCAAGAGACTTAGATCATTCAATAAATAGCCTTAAACAAATAATGTAAAGAAGGAAAAAAAAGGAAAAAAGAATAAAAACTTCAAATCTAAAAATAACTAATAAACTCAAAATAAATAAATTATTCCCCGACAACAGCGCCAAAAACTTGTTCGTGTGAAATCCGCTAGCATATGAGATCCTTAACAAGTAATAAATTTAGTGAGTTAGAGTATCGTCTCATGAGGAATAAAATTTAATTGAGTGTACTAGTGCTTAATTATATTCAAAGCGAACAAATTAAATTGATTTTTGGGATTTTTAATTATTCTAATTTAATCTATGAAAATGTATAAAATGCGAATTTAAAATGTATATGGGAAGAGTGTATTGGATTACGAATCCACCTATTATTATCTATTCCAGTTCTCGACTACGTGCTAGTTTCGCTTTTGCATTCTTGGCAATCGATAATTCTATTGTAATTAATCTTCTTTTCCAAGACAAATTAAATCTATCCTATTTACGATCCGATCCTATTTCTAGTCCAAATTCATATGAATAGAACGCATTCAATTTCATAATTATCTCAAAGATTGCACATGTGATAAATCTTGTTCCTAAAATTTATTGCACGTATGTTAATCATGTAGTGTTCTAAACTTATTGCGAACCTCCCAGCACTACAACAAGCAGAGTATATTTAATTGGTGATCAAGCAATCAAATAATTAAATTAAGCACACAACATTAATCAAGAATTATAAGAATTAAACTAAACCACGTGTCTTGAATTAAAAATAAATAGTAACAGGTTTCATCTTCATCCAATACATGAGAAAACTTAGCCTAGCATAATGGTGAAATTAAATAAATAAAATAGAAAAGACATCACCAAGTGATTTAGGGGACGTGAATAATTTCCAAAGTGACGATGCCGTGGTCACGCCTTTGCCGTCTTCCTATCTATTGTTGGCTTCTGCATGTGTACTACATTCCTTCTCCTTTTTCAACCCAAATGCAGTCCCAAGGTTTGAATAATTTCCACCAATGGCAGCCCTTTTTGTGGTTTTTGTCCTTTAATCCACGCACCCAAAGGTAGCCTCAATTGTGTATCTCTTTCCCCAATGTCGGCATGTGGAATATATGCAATGGCAGCCCTTTTATTTCTATAATTTTCACCAGATTATCAGTTATGCTCTCCCCCCTTCCGGCTGCCAATTTGTGTGTTCTTTATATATCAAAGTCAGCCCAAGCAGCTGCCTTTTTTGGTGTTAGTTTTCTTTGGTTTCTGTCTCCCTCACCAGCCGCTATTGATGCGTGTATAATCTATCCCAAGCAGCCGGCAATTCACGTGATTGTATGTGTAATTTCAACAAGTTGGCAGCCCTCTCTTTCTTTCCAGCCGGCGGTCTTTTTTCTCCCCTTCCTCCTCCTGCAATTGCCGTGTAATTCCTCCCACCAGCCCCCAAATTCTCTCCCTTTTTTGTGTGTGTATATATATATATAATTCATCAGCCAACCCTATTTTATTTTCAAAAGAACCCCACTTCTTCTCTTATTTCATCAACGTGTCTGCCCTCTTGTATCAATTGGACCAGCCCAATTAATCAGATATTTCACTTCAAGATATCACATTTCCCTTTTAATGAAATCTAGTCCTTGATATGAATTTTATTTGTGCAACCAATGTCCTCCTCAAATTCAAACTTGTGGAATTTAATCCCAAATTATAGATTTGACTCGATTTTGCCCTTCTTCCTTTCCAATTGCTTCCGACGGGATCGTCACTAAAAACAAGAATAAAATTAACCTAAGTTAAATAGAAATAATAAATTTAACGACTTAAAAGTTTAATTAAGTGGCCTAAATAAGTGCATAAATTACACTTATCAGGGGGCAGGGCGGGGTTGTAGTTCTCCCCATCATACCCAACAACTTTTTTTTAAAGTTATTTTTTATTTTTTTTGGGTAAAAAACTAGTTTTTTATGTGTAAATCTTTTTTTCGACATAGCAGCCCAGTTTGAAATTTTATAACGCGGTCTTGTATCTAATCCTGGATACGTCCCTGTCACAGATCAATTGAACTTAACATAGAAAATGCAATACAGTATTGCAACACTAGTAGGATTACAAGTAAAATATTAATTGGACAAGAACAAAACTAATACAGTGGATAACCCGACCATATAGAAAGGAAGCATTGCCATTGAATGTATTAAGCAGTTAAACACTAGAACTGCAAAACTGAATATAACAATTGTGTATAATCTCACTTTCAAGCCATTCTCCTAAAATACAGAAATTGAAAACTGATTTGATGGACAGAGATTTCACGAAAATCTTAAACTTAGAATTGAAAAATATTAGGGTAAAAAAATTTGTGAAAAAAAGAGATACAGTATAAGACGGCAGATCAAACACAGTGACAACCAGAATGCCATTTTTGAATAAAAGTTAGGTGAGCATATCCAAACTAAAATAAGAAAAACATAATTTTTCTTGAGAAATAAAGACAATCCATCCATCAAGAACACAATTAAGAAAATTATAAAATAAATGCTCAATATTAATAATAATCAGCAATGTGTAGAAGGCTATTTAAATATATCATCAAACTATAAATTTCATTGAACCCACAATTAGATTTAAGAAGGGCATAAAGAAATCACCTTTCATAGTCAAGCATCGGCTATTTTAGGGATGAGCAGAATGGGCAACTGGACTTTCTGCCGCTACGATAGCTATGTTGAGTTGTAAACTTGATGTTTGGACTAAATAATATGGGCTTAAGGACTTTGCCCATAGGCCCAAATCAATTAAAAAGCCCAACATGCCTAGCATTACTAGAAACATTATCTAGAAAAATCTATATAAATATCTACTAGAAAAATCCATGTAAATATTTAAGTAAAATATGTAGTAATAAACGTGGTAATGTACCAAGAAGAATATGTGGTCTTATAAAGTTTATCTAGAGAATTCTAGGAAAATATCTTGTCCAATGTATGGTCTAAAAGTCTTATATAAATATGTGGTCTAGGTTTCTCTAGAAAATGTGTTGACTAGAAGCTTCTTGTAAACACTAGATAAAGGGATAGTGTCCTCCATTTTGTAACAGCAAAAAAAAGTGTGTAAGTCTTGAAGTTGTGGAATACAAGTTTCCTTTTGTTCACTTCTTTCTTCCTATTAGTGTTGTCCTCCTTAAAAGCCTTAGCCAATCCAAGTTAGTAAACCTCTCTTTCTTCCAATAAACTGGTATCAGAGCCCTAATGTTCTCATGAAAAATGGAAAGTGGGATGATTCCTTTTCAAGTTTCCCAACTCAACAAGGATAATTACGACAATTGGAGCATAAAGATGAAAGCGTTGCTTGGGTCGCAAGATGCATGAGAGATCGTAGAGAAAGGCTACATGGAGCCACAACACGAGGTTGCTTTATCCCAAGCACAAAGAGATAGTTTGAATGATGCAAGGAAGAAGGACAAGAAGGCCCTCACCCTCATCTATCAAGCCTTAGATGAAGGCATGTTCGAGGAAGTAACTTGTGCTACTACAAGTAAGGAAGCATGGGAGATCTTACGAAACTCCTACAAAGGAGTTGAGAAGGTGAAGAAGGTTCGACTCCAAACACTTGGAGGTGAGTTTGAAGCTTTACATATGAAAGAATCGAAATCAATTTCTGATTACTTCTCTAGAGTATTGGCCATTGTGAATCAATTAAAGAGGAATGGAAAAAAGTTGAACGACACTTGAGTAATTGAGAAGATAATTAGGTCTTTAGATTCTAAATTTGACTACATTGTTGTAGCCATTAAGGAATCTAAAGATCTAGATAGTATGAGTGTCGATCAACTTATGGCATCTTTACAAGCCCATGAGGAAAGACTAAAGAAGAAGGTAAAAGAAGAGCCATTAGAGCAAGCTTTTCAAACAATGATCACTTTGAACGAGGGTGAAGGAAAGTTTGGTAGTAGAAGAAGCCAAAGAGAAAGAGGACGAGGCCAAGATTGAGGAAGAAGTACATTCTACAAGGAGGAAAAGCTCATTTTCCACCAGATGTCGTGGAAGAGGAAAATGTACGAGGCAAAATGAAGAGCCAAGGTATGACAAATCTCAAATTAAATGTTACAATTGTTAAAAACTTGGTCATTATGCTTCAGAACGTAGAAAAATTACTAACCAAGTTAAGGAGAAAGCCAACTACGCTTTTCGGGAAAGTGAAGTGGATCCTGCGCTATTGTTGGCCTGCAAAGGAGAAGAGAGCAGAGAAAAGCACACTTGGT